ATTTAAATACGATTATAATAATTTTTATCTTCATTTATTGTTACAGATTTATTGACACTTACCACATCTCGTTCGTTTACGATATCAGAGAAGAGCGACAAGGAAAAGGAGAAGGAGAAAGAGAAGAAAAAGGACAAGAAACCTGTTGATTTCCACAAGCAGATTATTTACAAATCATCTTCCGGCCTCGAGGTGTCGAACGACCAGTTAACGCAGATGAGCATATTCCAGCGGAAACAGGTATGGGAAATATGGTGTTAAGGCAAATGAGCTATAATTAAATATCTACATCCTAAGTGCATCTTCTAATTATCGTCCAATTCACGTGGCGCGCAAGCTTCTTTAACCATTCTAAAAGTTCAGGCTTAGAAATTTTTAATTCCACACTTAATTCTGCAAGACAGGTTTACTATAGAACCTTCTTTCTGTTCTGTTTTTCTATTGTTCATTTGCACAAAAATATCTTATTCCATATTTCTAACACTGAGGACTTATTATTGGCTGCATACCTACTTTGAATTAGATAGCTGTTGATCTTCCTTAAAAAATTATTAAAAGATGGTCTTAGTCTGGTTATTTTATTTGTCAATGTTAAGTAAATACAAGCACGTGTTTGTCGGGCAGGAGGCGGGCACGGTGGACGTGTGGTGGCTGTACGACGACGGCGGGCTGACGATGCTGCTGCCCTACATCCTGTCGCAGCGCTCCAGCTGGGCCAGCTGCAAGCTGCGCGTCTTCGCGCTCGCCAACAGGCACCACGAGCTCGAGCTGGAGGAGAGAAAGTATACATCACACAACATAATTATTCATACAAACCGGTAGTCGTTCATTACGAAAAAGCAGCAATAAGTTCGTCTACTACATTTTCGCTGAGGGAACTCCAAAGCCAAGTCCACGTCAGTGGCCAATAAATATATTTGGATTCTTACAAAGAATAGGATAGACTATAGTCTTAATCGTCTTCTGCCGTATAGCACTTACGCTGATGGGTCTTATATCATTCATTATTTGGTATCCAGTATGGCGAACTTGCTGGCCAAGTTCCGCATCGACTACTCGTCGCTGACGATGGTGCAGGACATCACGGAGGCGCCGCAGCCGGAGACCAAGCAACTCTTTGACGATATCATCAAGAGCTTCGTCAGTGACAATGGAAGAGAAGGTAATTCATCAACCATTACCGCGATTATCGATAGTTTAAAACCCACGTTGCTTCTATCAAACCATTATCACCTCCTTGACATTTTCGTTACGGAAAATCGTCACATTGTACTTCCTTTTCATGTATCTCTATTAGCCCTCGTATTTCCCTTTCTTGGTAGTAATAATTTTCCTGGAATACATGTTTGAAGGATTCAGATTCAGGATCCACTGTATTTTCCAGAATGCCGTATCAGCGAGTCCGAGCTGTCGACCCTGGCGGAGAAGACCAGCCGCCAGCTGCGGCTGCGCGAGCTGCTGCTGGCCAACTCGCAGGAGGCGCGCCTCGTCGTCATGTCGCTGCCCATGCCTAGGAAGGTGAGGACACATCATAACAATTTAACTCGTTTTCCAAATACGCCGAATGTGACAAAATGATACTCGACGTGTCCAATTTGAAAAGAGTTAGGGGGAAATGTACTTGAAGATTCCTTTAGATGGGAGAGTTACACATTCTTTGGTTCGTGACTCGAGAGTTCAATAAACCATTTATTTAATGAAAAAAAAATAGTTTGAACCGTGAAGTGATTAAGAGCGTGCGCACAACTTAGACTAAACTATCTCACAACTGGTTAGTCGCGCTTTGATTCCTACGAGCTTAAATGGAAGTGTGCGCACTACTAGATTTTTAGTTGTGCAATTGGTTATTCGATAAATTAGTCAAAACCGTGCACTCGCTCTTAAAATTGAATAACTATCAATTAATTATCCTCAGCCATCTTTGCTTTAGAAAAAGCGTTATCACGTTATGTTTTTGTATATGTATTTTCATAGTGTAAACTCATTGTATGCAGGGTTCGATCTCTGCGCCGCTGTACATGGCGTGGCTGGAGGTGATGAGCCGCGGCTTGCCGCCCATGATGTTCGTGCGCGGCAACCACACCTCCGTCCTCACTTTCTACTCGTAACTTTGCAAATATAAACATGGATGAAGGGACATATGTCAGGACCCACCTTTACGTGAACACCTTCCATTACCAAATAAATCACATGTGAAAGAACGCATAAGAATAAATTAATTATTAATTAACACTTTATTTAATTCTCTAATATAAATAAAATGTTAATTTATTTAATTCTAATTAATAATTTGGTTAAGTAGTTCAAAACATTCATTTATGTATTGTATTTAGAATTAGTATTAAGATTAGTAATTTACAAAGAATTAATTATTATTTAGCCTTAGAAACATTATTTGTATCTCTTCATCGATATTTTTTAGTTAGCGAGATTATTTTTTAGTTATTTAACTTAAAATAATTGCAACCAAAGTTAATCTCCACATTACAGTATTGTTTTTAATGGTAATAGTAAATTATTATTTGAATAATATATAAGTTTTTAGTATCTTAGTGTGTAGTTGTATTATGAAGTTATGTGTACTTTCCTCTAAATGGTACTTATTTTTGTTAAGTAATGCAGAAAGTTTAAATAATCCCTAATATCTAAGCAGTATTACCAATTTAAGAGATATAAGATATATTTATACCGGTGCTTACAACCGTAGTATTCCACTGTCGAAAAACGTATCTCATCCCTCTCTTATGTTTCAACAAAAGAACAAGGTATATTTTTTTGTACAGTCAGCTACAGAAATACTATAAAAATATAGTTACAAAACAAGTATGCTCGTCTTCAGATGCGACTTTTTGGTCGAAAGCTTACGGATTACTGATGGTTACGTATACGATTTTTGAACCCAAAAGCGAACTACTAGTTTCTGAAACTTTGTAAATGTATATTTATGCAGTTGACTGTACAGCTGTTTTTTGGGTATCCCACCATTGGAGGAAAAGTTGAGATTACCAGACAAGTGCAATTGTCATCAGCTGTTTAAATTTGTTGATAAAACTGAAACAATTATCTAAAGTTTTGTAAATGTAACATTATGCAGTTGATTGTAAATATATTCGAAAATATTAAAACAGCTCTCAGAAACGTATTTTAAGCCAGAAAAATGTCTTTAGAAATTTTATATTGATAATTGTCACCTTTCTTGCTAAATCACATTCGTTGTTTTTTACCGACTTCCCAAAAGAAGGAGGTACTCAATTCGTCTGTATGTTTTTATTGTTAAATACGTCTTAGGTTTACATCTCTACAGTAACTTCCTAAAGTACAAGGAAAAGTACATTTTACACTTAAATGGCAAACTTAGTTAGCATTTATATAACAAAAATACTTTGATGAGTATCATAGGTATTTATTTTATACTTTTAATACTTACGAGTATAAAGCCAATAAATTTAATTTACATTACAAGTATTAACACATTTGTATAGATTTAGAACAAATCAGTGCTTTAACAAATTAGCCATTTATCAAATATACAACATAACTTATAATGTAAAAAAATTTAGTTTTATTTCCATTATTTATTTAAATAACATTGAGTTTTCCTAAAGGGAAATTTTTAAAAAACGTAATTTTATTAGGATAATACAAATCAATATTTACGTTATTTATTTTTACGCATTTCTGTAAAAAGTTTAGCGCTCACAGCATTATTTATTTACAATTTTCGATCAAGTTTAATATGTACTTTAATATTAAGTAACGACGACGTGACTAACTGTCTTTAACCACAATTACTATAATGATTATCCAGCTATAGGTAAATCGGCAATGCATCTACTGAGGCGAGCACACCCGAACTCTTTTCTCGAAGCGGTTCAAGGCATCAATAATTGTAACAGACATGAAAGACAAATTTATTTTCATAATAAACCTTTATTGCTATAACTGTATTTTACTAATTGAAAGAATAAGGGCTTGTCTCGGCACCGGCTGATAGACGCTCAGATTTAAAAATGACGACACTGTCAGATAAGGGAGCAAAATCCGATATTTCCATCACATATTTTACACGTTGTTATTAGACAATAAACAATTTGGTAGCACACGTCCTAGAATTCATAAAAAATTGAATTGAAAACTGACCTGAAAAAAAAAAATTACCCAAATAAAAAAATTATCACAACTCTTCGTCATTATAAACTTGATTCGTCTTCAGGAGCTTAGCCGATCTCCAACATAAAGACAGAATTCTTAAAAATATAAGGTTACAAGTAAATTGTCAGGAAAAAAAAACATGTAGACGAATTGAGTCCCTCCTTCTTTTGGGAAGTCGGTCAAAAAGAATAAATAACGTCACTTTGATAACTATTTGTCACAACGACAATAACATAATAAATCGAAGATCAAAGATTAACAAAAACAGTAAGGAATCTTAACTTTTAAGAGAGAATCTAAAAATACAGTGCAGTGGGGCCGAACAGGTTTGTGAAGGTTTGTTTGTTGGAAAGTAAAGGAGCAGTACTCTTTTTACGTTCTTTCATACATATTTTATATGAGTAGGGAGCAAACGAGCGACGGAAACACTAAGATGCTCGCATATGGATCTACAACACACGGAATTGCAGATACTGTACCGGCCTTTCCACCTGCGTCTCTTCTATCCAAATCCTTTATCTCTAAACTTGAATCCAACAGAAGTTACGGAGTATCTTCCGCAGATGTAATAACACTTATCCCAACCTCAAGTAATAAACTACGGCATTACAGAAACGATGACATCAATGCACACTTGAGATAGCCAGAAATAACTATCATAAAAGTTAACAAGAATCAGGCGAAAATGTAAACAAAAATTGGAACCTGCGACGTTTGAATGATTGATTGTATTCACCGACCACCGTGTGAAGAACTGTGATGTCAAGACACTTCTTGTGGGATATGATATAGAGTTGTTAAAACTTTACTAGAAAAATAAAAGTTAGTATAAACTCTATGGAGGTCTATTAAATAACTAGTTAATGAAATAAATACACCTAAAAACTTACTTGACAGTACTTTAAGAAAAAAAAATCTAGATCATGTGGTTTTGTGGATTACCAGCCTTTTCGAATTTGGCCAGTGAAATGTGAGCAATAGAATCTTTTTATTTTATTAAAAAACAAATGCAAATTAAACCTCGAAATGCAACACGACAAAAAGAATTGCACTCTAGTTGTGAGTGTTGAAATTTCTTTTACAACTCTGCGTATTTTATAATTCGCGAAATGCAAGGAGATCTTGTAAAAACGGTGTTATGAATCTCAATGTAAGCAGACCAAGTCAGTCAAGCAATGTTTATGAAATAAGTTACCCGTCTCATTGGTTCATTTGTAATATTTTCGACCTTCAATTTTTTTTTAATTTAATTATTTTAGTGCTTAATTATGGAGGTAAACCTTTTGAGTGACTGTCGTAAGTACATTATTATGTAAAAACGTGTTTTTAAAAGTTTTGATAGCGTTTATAGTAGTGAAGTATATTTATTAACTTTAGGAGAAATGGGTCAAATGGAAACCAAGTAAGAAGTAACCAATAATAATTTAGAAAGTCCTATCCCGATTTTAATAAAGGAGATTTTATCACTTGTACAAATATATGTAAATTATTCCTTATGATAATATAGTAATTAGAGCGACGTCTGTATGTGTGTACTAGTGTTTTAGATAAAACCCACGGTAATAGGCACGTATAGTAAATAGGGACATTTTTATTAAACGTCTATGTGTATTTTTGCACACATTAAAAATAGGCAGATGTAAAAAAAAAGTAACCGGGCTTACTTCTTTTAACTTGTTTGATATTCTATATTAAAAAAAAAACTCGTAATTACCGTTCTAATTACAGTTACATACATGACAGTGGACAACTTTTGCCAAAATTAAATTATCGCGATCAGGCGTTGACGGTGTTTGAGAATTAAATGTTTTCTAATTTTTTGTTCTTTGATTAGTGATGCAATGAAATAATCGAATATTGACAAATGTTATCGACTTGGCTCTTACGAATCTGTCAATATCATAATAACTTGACCTAGTGCTAAAATGAAGGTATTTTTAAAAGATCATTTTTTAAAATAAGCAAGCTTTTAAGCTTGCTTTAGAACATATAAACTCATTAACTGAATATTATAAATAAGTTTCAATCTCATATACTTTCAGTTTCCAGAACAGCTTCAAAAATAAAAGAAAATAACATGAATATGGTAGATTTGGAAACTGAGGTAAGAATCTAGTCTTCTAGCCCTACAGCTTTTTGTGGGTCCTGGCTTAAATCAGCAACATTACATTCTTCTCCAATTTTCTATGCAAACTTTTTTCGTAGTCTCGCTTTACGCCATCTATCCACCCAACCTGTGGTTTCCTTCAACTTGACTACCTTCGGTATTACTGGCTGTAACGAACTTAGTATATAATCTATTTTAGAATTAATTGATAGTCCAATTCTTTAAGTTGAATATGGAAATGTCAACGTTAACTAATTTTCAGGTGAAAGAAGATGCTGAAACATTGAGAAAGGGCAACCCAACGCCTGAGTTAACAACTTACGGTGGCATCAAATTAGGATGGATTCAGGTTTGTTACATTTTATTTCTAGTACATATATCGCGTAATATGAGAAGGGGCTAAAGAAATTTAAATAAACTAGCTTTCGCCCGCGAAACCCACCGCAATTTAAAAACACAAAAGCAAGTAGCCTATGTCTCCTTCCGTATTATCCTGTACATATTATGAAATTTCATCGAAATCTATTTAGTTGAGGTGTGGGCGTACGAAAAGAAATGTCCTTTTAACTTATTGCTGATATCCATATGCAGCGGTCCCTCCCATGTTTTAATAAAATGAGGCGACCGATTCCTATTTTCCACTAAAGATTTTAATCTATTTAGGGCGTGTTAATACCTTGTCTCCTGAACATCTGGGGCGTGATGCTATTTCTACGCATCTCGTGGATAGTGGCGCAGGCGGGTATAGCGTTGACAATACTTATAGTGATGCTGTCAGCGCTCGTGTGCGTCCTTACCACGCTCTCGCTCAGCGCCATCTGCACCAACGGACAGGTGCAAGGAGGTTAGAAAAAATAACGCTAACATCTCTATATGTTTGTAAAAGTCACAATAATATATCACTTAGACTAGATATAAAAGGTCTTTAAGTTATTCTTGGTGTTCATTTAATATAAAAATATGAGCTTTTGGGACTGGTTGAGTGAGTAAAGGATTTGTAGTGATGTAAGGTAGTGAGTTATTCATACCACAGTCGCCCTCAATCATCAATAACGACGCAGATTGTAGCGAGATGATTTTTTTTTAAATGTTAAGCCTCAATTTGCTCATTTGACAGAGCACTCACTCTACTCTCACTAATATTATCTGGTAATTTCAGGTGGTGTTTACTACCTAGTATCTAGATCACTGGGTGCGGAATTCGGTGCATCTGTGGGCATAATCTTCGCGTGTGCAAATGCGGTTGCTGCCAGTATGAACACTATCGGCTTCTGCGAGTCCCTCAATGAATTAATGAAGTTCCACGGGCTTAAGATAATTGATAACGATGTTAATGATATAAGGATAGTGGGTACAATCGCACTTCTAGTGATGTGCTTGATCTGCGCTGTCGGTATGGACTGGGAGACTAAAACTCAGGTCAGTGACGAAAGTATCCACATAATTTCAGAGCACAAAAACACAGGATTTTAGAAGGATCTAGTGATTCCTTTTTGCATATAATATACTTTTGAATTGCAGTTGTAGGTTCTCTAAAATTATCTGTTTTGACTTCGTTTTTTATACAAAACGTTTTTTTTTACAGAATTTTCTGATAACGGTGATAGTTGTGGCTATCGCTGCGTATGTGACGGGCGCGTTGCTCGGACCCACTACCGCTACACAGCGGGCACAAGGCTTCATCGGCATTAACTGTAACTATTCCCAACTACTTCATTTGTACAACTACAAGAGTCTCTTATTAGATAGTAATACTTTTTACAGTAACAGTATATCATAAAATTAACGTTTACATAAATAACAGTGGAGACAGCTGCGACCAACTTTTGGCCAGACTTTCGCTACAGTGACGGCGTGAATCACAACTTCTTCAGCGTGTTTGCCATGTTCTTTCCCGCGGTTACCGGCGTGCAGGCCGGCGCCAATATCTGTGGAGATTTGAAGGTTTGAAGAATATTTAACAACTCAACAGTCAATCATTCAACACTCCGTGTCTATAAGACTCGTTACTTTCACTAACTCACTAAGGGAACCACTTGAAGTCTCTGGGTGCGGCAGTTACGACACAAGAGAGTGCTATCTTTTTTATAAAGTATAATGATGATACGCCAAACCATAACTAAGGTCGTTTTAGTGCATTATACGTTAAAAAATCAAAGAGCTGCATAATATCTATTTAACTGTGTGAATTTTAGTTGAATGTTTTATTCATCTAGGATCCTGCTACGGCTATCCCTAAGGGCACGTTCCTAGCGTTGTCTATATCGTTCGCGAGCTATTTGGGGATGTCGGTGCTATGCGGCACGGGGACGCTGCGCGACGCCAGCGGCAACCTCCTGGACTTAAACAATAATCCTCTGGATGCCTGCAAACCAAATTGCTTGTATGGACTTCATAATACTTATTCGGTATGTTATTTTCAATGAAATATAACTGTAACAACTTATACCAAAGGGTGGAGGGTCAGGTCAAAAGAGAACTTTGATATTTTTAGACGAAGATTTAAATTAATTAATGATATATGAGATTCTTTGTTTCGATATTAAAGATCTGCTAATATGGTAGTATATTGTTGTTTCTAATTACGTATTAATGACATTTTTTCTTGTATACGATTACCTTTAAGTTAGCGAACAGCATCAAAGAGTGGGCTACTCGTTGTTACTTGTCACCAATTGTGGAATTTTACTAGATAATGCAAATGATGTCACTGTCGAGTTCGTTGATCTACGGCGGGTGCTGGGCAGCGACGCTGTCGACGGCGCTCACCAACCTGCTGTCGGTGCCGCGGCTGATCCAGGCGCTCGGCGTGGACCGCATTTACCCCGGACTTATTTTTTTCTCCAAGCCTTATGGCAAACACGGCGAGCCTTATCGCGGCTATGTCCTTACATTCCTTGTTTCACTTTTGTTCCTTCTTATTGGTAAGTGATTCTATTACTAAGTTCTTACTAAAGGATTCGTTTATTTGTTAAATCTTTAATTTGTTCGAAAACATTTTTTATCAGTGACTTGAGTTTTAAATTTCTTTTTGAATACTTACTCCTTCAATTCTATCATAACTATTCTGGTTTTATCGTTTTTAATATAATTTCTCGTTTCATGTACTTAGCGAATCTGAACACAATAGCGCCTCTGATAACAAACTTCTACCTCGCGTCGTATGCTTTGATCAACTTCTGTACATTCCACGCCGCCTTGATCAAGCCCATCAGTTGGAGGCCTTCATTCAAGGTTTGTCAAATACATGGAAACTTAACATAGACTTTATACTCATAACCTTACATAATTTGCTTACTGTTTCTAAATATCGTGAACGTATATTTTATTGTAACTTTCTATTATATCTTTCAGTTGTCACTTGAATGTAAAATGTAAACTGACCTAATTTTTCGCCTTATGCTTCTGATTTTTGACTACAGAACAATGTAGTTTCGCCGTTGCCTAATTTGCTGTTGTAAATGGTGTAGTACTACAACACTTGGCTGTCGTTCGTGGGCTTCGTGCTGTGCATCGCCATCATGGTGGTGGTCAGCTGGGTGACGGCGCTGGTCACGCTGTTCGTCTTCATTGCGCTCTATCTCTTAGTGCTCTACAGGAACCCTGGTAAGTGTTGCGATTTTAAACGATTAGAAACAACCGATTGTACCTACCTGTACAATTTAAAAAATATATTTTCATATCGCTAATAGTTTTCAATTTTCATTTCAGTTTAAACCCATATCAGAAAGTTAACAATATTTTTTAAGGATAGCTTTAGACATTATAATAGTAATTTAGATATAATTCAAAAAAAGCATTCTGAACTTTGTAGTTCCGCGGTCCTGTTGTCCCTTAAGCGTCAATATTCCGTTAACAGTTTCTATTGTAACATGCTAGAGGGCGTGGAATGGGGCAGTAGTACAGAAGCACACCGCTACATGGAGCTGGTGTGGGCGCTGGTGCAGGCGAGCCGGCCGCACGCCGCGCACGCCGCGCACTCCACGCACTCCGCGCATTCAGCGCAGGCTGCGCACTCGGCTCGCTCGTACCGCCCGCAGCTGTTGCTGCTGGCGGGGCGGCCGCCGGCGCGCGCGCAGCTGCTGCACCTCGCGCATCTCATTACAAAAGTCGGCTCTTTTGTAGTAGTCGCTGATATTACTGAGGTGAGTCATTTTGGTTTCTTGTTCACCTATAGGTACTAATGTACTAAAGGGGAAAGATTTGTATTTTTGGATTTTTGCATGTATTGTATCTACTGAACAATCTACTGGATTTCAAAAATTTTTACACCGTTAAAAAACTGAGTAATATAGGCTATGTTTTTACTCATTTAGTTATTTTAATTTCACCCGAGCGAAGTTGTATTTAATATAATTCCTGTGTAATAATCATCCATCATCAATCCAGTGACCATGCAAACAATAAAATAGGTACTAACTAGTGTAGTCATATTTATTTAATAACTAATAAAATAGTTGTTTTATCTGTTTTCTGATAATAAACAAGAAAACTTCTTTAGAACACATCTCTTACTGTGGCAGTTAACTAAGGAATATTAAATATATGTACATTTCAGACACCATTATCATACGCGGAGAAAACAAGTCGCAAACAGATAGGCGAGT